CTCTCGTGATGTGCTTTGTTTGCGCGACCGGTCTCTGTGTAGAGGAATAGGAGCGGCGGCCAACCATTGATGTAAAAAAAACCCTATTTCATGTTGGCGCCTCGGTTGGAGCCTCCGGACTTTTTGGTTTGGGTCCGAAAGGCAACGAACGCGTTTGTCTGGATACACTTGTTGTCTAAGTGAGAAACCGACCTCAGTAGCGTTTTTGTCGGGAGTTTCTTCCTTCCGCTCCTTTCCGCTCAGAATTCTCCAACCACGCTCTTGTCCTCAGTGCGTGCTATTTTTGTCCTCGTTTTGTTGTTTTGTTACTTTTCCTTTTTATATTTTTAGTAGGGCATGATTGAGTTGTTTTACTGCACAACAGTTGTGGTATTTCCTATACTTAAATGGTGTGGTAAATGGTGACGGTGCTTTGAGTGCTAGAACTGTAGAAGCTGTCCTGCCGCATCTAGGCAAGTTGGTGTTGGAATCGCTGTCAGTGTTAGAGCCGAGGCGCCCTCGATTGGATTCCGGTCAATAATCGCCTACGCGCTGTGAGGCTCCGTGGCTCTTGCGAGGTTAGCATTCACCGATCAGACAGGCTCGCTCTTTTCCTAATCTCCGCTTACGCGCCCACTGTTTGAAGCTCGAATACGGTCAAGGACCAGTTCTATTAACACCTTCATTAGCTGCTTCTAAGGGTGCCTAAAACAGACAGTATTATTATGACAGGAGACAAACGCACATATTGGTCGGATGCTGCCATATGAACGCTACCTAGGTGGATCGCATGGATATGATGATGTTCGCTCTGATAACGAAGAGAGAATCAAACTATGTGCTGACCACTAACTTTTCCTTTCCCTGCGTGCCACTATGCCACCTGGCGTCCTCCATCATCAACCCAACGTTGATCACAAATTGGTCACAGCCATAAATCGCAGGTGGCGCGGTAGTGTACACGATTGTCGACCATTTTGGTCAGTTTGTTTTGACACCGATCATATACTGGTGTGTGCGATAGTTTGCATGCGTTTCGACTGCTCACCCAGCGTCAAGCAAACCCGACTGAACGCTCACAACTTAAAGGACCTAGCGCTGAAAACGCAGTATCAACAGAGTCTTTATGAAAATCTCGCTCTCCCGCATGCACTGGACGTTGGTTAACGCTGGCCATATTTACAACAAGCAACGCTGTTCGCCGGCTTGTGCAGTTGCGCACTTCCCCGCTGCACAACCACAGCTGGATTTTGGTAAGATCCTTGGAACTGCTGAATCGTCGACGGGCTGTGCCCGCCGGTGCGGGGCACAATGAACCTCCTCGGTCTATCTCTCAACAGCTGAAGTCAAGCATCAGCTCTGACTGTGAATCCTGATGGTCAAAACGAGCTGCTGAAATGGAAACCTCTACATCGCCTGGAAACTTCCGCAGTTTATTTTTCCTCATCAAGACCACTGTCTGCAATTCACACGCTGTCACTCAGACAATTTGTGAGTTAGGCTGCATGAAAATCATTAACCTTCACAGGCGCTTGGGTCGCTGGGCAGATCACTGCTTTTCACTTTCACTGCCCAGTAAGCCCGACTGTGACATCACCCTTTCCCTCGGATGGTGCTGTCGCCACAGATCCTCCTACCGAAACAGCGATCCGAAGCGCTATCCAATCTTTGAATCATCATAAAGCTTCTGCCCCTGACAGCCTACTCCCGGCTCTGATGGCGGGAATGCACTTGTTAGTCAAACCTTATCACTGTTCAAGCGGATTTGGATTGACGAGCAAGTCGCGATTGCATGGGGAGAATCGGTCATTATCCCGATTCACAAGAATGGCTCCTGCGAGGATTGTGCCAATTACCGCAAAATTTCTTTTATCTTTGTTGCTTCCAATATTTTCGTATCTGTTCTGCTCCACAGGCTTTCATGTACTACAGAACGCGTTTCTCGAGAGGAACAAGCGGGGTTCCGTCCAGGCCGAGGTAACATTGACCACATGTCCACATTCCGCCAACTTCTTGAATTCCGTCACGTCCACCGACAGCCAACAATCATAGTGTTCTTGGACATCCCAGCGGCATTTAAATCAGCAGATAGTTCTGCCTTGTGGAATTGTCTACTAAGGAAATGTGTGCCCGACGAATTCGTAACCATCCTGAATGGATGTCTACAGTCACATGTCGGGCAAAGTGAGAGTTTACATCACGATTTCTACTTCGTTCGATGTAACCAGCGACGTGCGTCAAGCTTGTCCCATTTCACCTTTTCTCTTCAACTTTGCCATTAAAAATGTCAAACGAGCATTGGAGGACCCCCAATACTGTGGTATTGAGCTTCTCCCAGCTGACAGTCGCGTATTTGGACTGACGATATCGTTTTGCTTGGGGACCATCCACAAGCCATCCAAAGCGCTTTGAACCTTTTAATGGTGGAGGCGTCTAAGTTTGGCCAGTATTTCACCCCAGACAAATGTAAAATACTAATCCAGGATTGAGAGATGCCCGTGCCTGTCCTCACCGTTGCTGGTGACGTTCTGGAACAAGTCCACTGCTTTACCTATCTAGGGAGTTGCATCACAGTTGGCGACTGTAATGGAGACAGTGTCTCACTACGGATCGCATAGGACCTCCTTGCATTCATCAGACTGCGACACTTATGGCTCCGTGTCGATGTCAGTCTCAAATTCATGGGCGGGGTATACATTGCTTCTGTCCATGCTGTCCTCTCGTACGGCTGTGAGACTAGGCCGACTCGCTCGGAAGACATAAAACGATAGTCAGTTTTCGACAATAGTTGCCTGCTTAGGATTGCTCGCAAGTGGTGGCATCATCACGTAAGTAACGCAGACGTGCAAGAGCGAGTGTTTGGAACAAACAGCCCATACCTCCAAACCGTTATTCTCCTACAACTTATGCGTTGGCTCGGCCACGTATTGCGCATGCCAGCCTATCACTTTCCCCGTCGAGCGTTATTTGCGCTCTTCGGAAGCGATTAGAAAAAGTGTCACAATGGGCGATTAATGACTTGAAGAAGGAGCATGCAAAAGCAACATCATGACTAGCTTCCGTCGGACCAGTCCGCCTTCCAGAGTGGGAAGCACGCGATTCGGACTGCCAGTGGTTAGAAACGCTGAAGTTACGGCGCACAACAGACATCAGCGAAGATTTGTTCAACCGCATTATCTATTAGTTATCTTCCCATGGAACATAAAACTCAAAAAACAAAAATTCTCAAAACCGTGTGTAAAACCCACGAAAATCGTTTTCTTCTCATGTGGTATTTCGTTTCCCCCTTTTACTTCACTATGGTTCTGGTGATACTATCTGTAATCTGATTGTAAGTATATGGATGGTGGCATCTTTTTTTGGATTTGCCTGTCACTGTGGCCAGCCACAGAACGCCTGCGCCTACAGAGGGACCATGGATGGCTTGCGCTGCACCAACCACAGCTCCAACCACACCCCATATCCAGTGTAAACCCGAAGGAATAAGATCGGGAGGCATGTGGATGGGAGCCACGTTTCATCAACGGAGGCGACCCACACTCCTTCACAGGCAAACACAAGCGCGTTGTATTTTGGAAACAAAAGCACCCATGGCGGTGGCTAGACCGTAGCCCCGTCCACACTGAGTGAATGGAACCACTCTTCGAGCTTAGCACGACCACAAGGACCGTGCATCCCTTCCCCCCAGCAACGACCAACTGTCTCTTGGAGCCAGTATGGACATGGTGGTGGGTAATAGACAGGTAGGCACCTTATCAACATGCACATCATGCGCAGCCACACTGGGGATATCAAGCAACAGCCAATCACTTTAAACGAAATTATTAAATAAAATAAACCCGTTAAAGCATACGGCTACACCGACGTAACTCTTCGATAAATTAGCTTATGAATTAAGTCAGTTATCAACGAATCCGCGATAAGTACAAAATGTCCATAAGTCACTCAAAGTATGATACAAATGCAGTAAAGTTAACGAATATGTTCACGATTAGCGTAATGAGCGTGTGCACGCCAATAGGAGAATATTCAAGTTGTCAGAACAAGCCAAATCAAGTGGGATGAAATTTATCCAGCTTAAAATGACCTAGTCTATGTGTAAGTTGGTTTAGCGCAACCGCGGTCAAGAAGCATCAAGAATGCAACATCAGCCTCAGAATGGGGCACTTGTGCATATATATATATATATATATATATATATATATATATATATATATATATATATATATTACAATCTGTGTACAGATATTGTGTCATCGAAACCATGGCGGAATAGGAAAACAGTGTTATATCAAATGCAAAAAGAAGCTGAACAAATTTTTGTTCATTTTTCCACTCGCAGTTTTTGAGCTTTGATGTTTTTTTATTGAGGATGGGAAAGAGATGATCCATCCATAGTTCGTCAGTGGACGCGATACTACCCGGTTGCCCAGGCCAAAGTAAAAGGCACTATTCTGACTGTTAACAGCTCTATTTTAGTACTCATTGTTCAATCTCTTGCCACATACGTTTTCAGCATCTTCTCATGGTGTCATAACGCTATTCAAAATTTTCCGAAGCCATCTACTAGTGTCGGCCGAGAGCAGTTGAGCTGTGTAAGCGGAGGGCGCTGATGCAAGTCCTCCTGCTTCCACATCCCTTAATTGCGCGTAACCTCGGTCTACCCCGATTACAGGCAGTAACAGCTGGCCCCGTCATCCTATCGGCCGGGCTAATCATCGTGTACTGCGCATTTGTGCGACTATGATCATCAGTCGAAGTTGGCCTGACAAACCATTCAGCTTGCTATGGCTCAACCGACCCTAGTCTAGCTTTCCAAGTCCGTTGCAGTGCTCTATTTGAAATGTCAAAGCGAAATTTCCTCACAGAATTTAATCTTTATATTACTGCTGTTGTAGTTCTTCACGTATGTCACTTGGTCACACTTGTACTCTTCTTGCCCATTGCCCTCTTTACTTTACTCTGCTGTACTGTATTCGTCTTGTGACAACCTGAGGGCGCACGTGTCTTTTTTCCTTTCAGCTCGTCGGAAATATTTTCACTGGAACCACTGCGCCCCACAGTTGACTCATGATTTCCTCGCCATTCTGCTCAACGGTCCATAACTTAGGGAGTATGTTAAATAAGCATGCCTTCGGTTTCCACACCTACTCGCGCATATGAAATCATCGGTACCTTGAACGAAGAACCTTGCGTTCAAATCTCGGATTTATTATTGCGAAACGGCTGCGACGCTCATTTTACTTATAAACGCATGTGCACGAATGAAATGTTCCCTTTCCCCATCAGAGACAGAGTAATCAGATTTGAAAACCAACAGACGAAGGATCCTAGTCTGATTTTGGATCCTTTGTCCAGTCAGAATATGTTTTTCGCGAAGAAGGTTCCTCCAGTTTCTGACTTGAATACGAATGCAGCAGAACTAACTGTTTCCACTGATTTGTTTCCGTCACGCACTAATGTCCAGTTTCACTCATGCAGTTGCTCACCCCCTCCTCCAGCCCTCTCTCCCGCTAGTCTCTCCCCAACTCATATTGGCAGCAGTTTGTTCAATCAAACTTCGTCTCCGTCGCCTCCTGTTATAGTGGCGGAGATAGGCACGCATTCTTCTTCATCCTCCGGAACAACGTCCGAACGAACAGCTCATTTGGTTTCGAAGTCGAACTTCTATCGTTCTCTTTCGGATAAAGGTATCCAACCTGGGAACAGTTTGCCGTTCGGCGATAAGTTGACTGTTGCTCCCAGACTGAGTGCACTGTCTTCGTCCAGTTCTAGCAGCTCCTCATCCACTTCTTCCTCGTCCGTACTGAACGATACTGTGGAACAAGTTGGAAAAGGTTTACCTATATTGGAGAAAATGTCCATTGCACTTGGATCTCCACGTCTTGTCACTGGTGATCAACTTCTTGTAACCCATTCAAAGGAGAATAATATTGGGCCAAGCAATTCTGGATTATTCGTGCAGACAATGCAGACCGTTGAGAAGACGGTCAAGCTTGACGTCCCGACCCCTATCCAAGTGAATGGTGGCGCCGCGGATGAGGGACCACCCAGTAGCCCAAAGGAGCCTTCAGAAAGCGTTGTTAAATCAGCTGGTCCGGGCCGCCGTCCTAGGGCTGGGCGACCAAGAAAACGACGTCTAACTACTGTTGGCAGCAGAGTCAACAAGATCAAGAGAGGCCGGTGCGATTCAGATTCGGATTCCCAGAGTATCTGGCCTAGTCGACCCTCCCGCGGAAGAGCTACTTCTCTCACTCTTGTCGGAGAACAAAGACGTAGACCTGGAAACAAACGGTAACTATTTATCTCGATGTTCTTAACTTGGTGTTCCATTTTCTCAACTGACTTCGCAGCTTAGTAAAAACCACAATCTCGTTTCCCAGATCTTAGTCTGTTTGGCTTAATATCTTTCACTTTGTCGCTTCAGTTGACAACCTGGGGCACTAATCTGTCGAAGCGCTTTTCGGCACTATGCCAATCGGTGTTTAATAAATCTGTGTGTATATATGGCACGGTTCGCTTAATCGATCCACCGTGTTGAATATAGCTATGGTTGGGGGCACCTGTCTCCTGATTTACCCGCCACTGTTACTGCGAACAGCCACGGGACGCCTACGGCTACAAAGTGATCAGTAGTAGCTGGCGCTGCACCACTCGCAGCTTTATCCACACACCACATATACAATGTAAACATAGAGGAACAAAACTGGTAGGCATGTGGATGGGAGCTATTGTGGATTCGGAGTTGGGCCGCACTCCTTTAACATGCACATCCTTAATTGAACAGGGGAAACATGCGCACCAGATATACCCAAAGCGATGGCCGGGCCGTAGCCCATTCTACACTGGATGGAATCACTTTTTGAGCCTAACGCCGTCACAGAAATTGTACTCCTCCTCTCCTCCAGCAGCTATCAAATGTCCCCTGAAGCAGGTAATTGAGGTGACCGTCTCCGACAGATAGTCGCCTTGCCAACGTTTACCTGAAGCGCAGCCAGACCGGAGGTTCCAATAAGCAAACGTATATAACGCAAGAACACAAAAACTCAGGCTTTGTTGCTTTTTTGTTGTCGGATTTTTCTTTTTTACTGCCACCTGATTGAATTGCGTTGCGGCACAATAGCTGGGACACTTCTCACCCGAGCTGTGTTCTATTTTTCAGGATTCTGTGCGAGTCATCAAATGAATCCGAATTTTTACCTCGGTGCGGCTCTTGCTCAGCAGCTCATTCTAATTAAATACTTTCTCAGCGATTTAGGTACGCTTTGGCATATTGGCGGCGGAAGTATTGAAATCTGACCAAACTCCTAGACTACTTCTTTCACCATAGCAAACTGCATCTCAGGTCCAATTGTGGCTCATCAACAAATTGATACGGTTGCTATTTTGGGTGATCGACAGGATATTTTTGATTTTTCAGCTTTCGCCCATCAGTTTTTATACTGCTTTTGCATTCATTTTAAATTTAGGCCATGGTTTGAAAGATCAATTTCGTATAGGCTTCAGTCGTTAGACAACTTCACTAGATTTAATGTACCTTGTCTGGGAATTCGCACCGAATGGGCACTTATGGTAGCATTCTTTCAGTACAGCCAGGGAAAGAACGTCAACAGTACACTATTTCTTTTAAATAAATAAACAAATGAATCCTTTATTTCTCGTCGATCCAAGAGACTATTCTCACCTTAGATATCAAATTATTTGCAGATTTTTTCATTTAGTCCTCTACATATTATATAGGAATATGCATTATGTTATCTCCATGTCAGTCTCACACATGCATGTTCTTCAGGGTGAAGCGCAAAAATTTCCTAGGGTTATATCCTCCGTTAACTGATGTCCCGTCGATCTGGACCAGCGCAATCTGACCAGAAGGTGAAACTGGGACTTTCGTGAATGAGCTATTTTTTCAAACTCCCGCTGACGCGCAATCCAACTTAATCGATCGATTAAAACACGTTCAGAAGTCCATGTTCGTAATGGACTCAGGGAGAAAATAAAATAAACCATAGTATCAGAGTAGCTAAGAAATGGTTACGAAATGCTTACGAGTAAAAGTGTTTAAAACGCAAATATCTGGCAAAGAATAATCTAAACATATAGACATAGTTTGCAAGGAATATATAAACTTCGGCTAGCGTTCTTGTAATTTCCTCAGTAGTTGTTTTGGGACATCTAAAAATGCGGACTCATGCCGAAAGCCTTATCCCGTGAGAAAAGCACTTCAGAATGAAACGAAGATTCTAATAGCAACAGACTCAGGCGCTAAGTACCATGAGAGCGAAAATGGTAAATGACATCACAGTGCGACGCGGCTATAATAGGAAAAGCGACGTAGATGATGGCACCATAATTTCTAAATTGTCAAACGAAGTCTAAAATGTGTGGTATAGCACAATAATATATGTGGCCATGAGTTGTAGTAGCAAACTTTATAGCCGCTATACTCCGGATTATTACGGCATGCAGTAAGACTTGTGTGCATCACCAGCCATAACCTCTGTGGTTATTCTTAACGGTGTTAACTTTTATTACGCTAGGGTAAGTTCGAATAATAGTATAAGCGTGGAAGAGCAGGTCTGTGAAAATGTAGGAACTGGGTGTCCACCCATCACTGAGCCTGAGATTTAACAGGCGCATGGTCGGAAATGGAGTCAGGTAAAAGAGAATTTCATGGAGATGGCCAAGGTAGAGTGTAGTGACTGTCGAAAATCCTGGAAGCTTGGCTACCCAAGATGACAGAGGCCACTCGGACACACGATTAACTTTTGGGCCAGGTTAAACGAATATGAAATATTTAAGAGCAACATGATAATAATGTACGGAAAAGGATCTGGCTTCTCATTCTACCAGTCTGCCAATGTTGACATTAGCAGATGGCGAGTGTTCAAGTCTGACAAAACTTAAGAGATGTTGAGTGCCAAAATGAGGTGAAGTGGAGTGACAAAAACCTGGGTCGCATTTGTTGTTTCATCATAGGAATAGTTAACCAACTACCTGGAATATTATGAATGGAATACAGCGGTGAACTTTTTTCAAACCACGACAAGGCAAAAAGGAAATCAGCTGATCGGCAACCAGTGAAGGACGATTAGGAGAGCCAGTGCAACGAAGTGAACCGAAGCCTTCTAACGCTGGGCAACCCGGTAGCCTAAGTGTGGCAAATAAATCATTGAACATAGAAAAAATAAAATAAAAAGGACAGATAAGCAGGGTCAGAAGTTGATGTACAAGGTGAGATCTAAGCCGAGCAGCATTTTGAATGCGGCAAATGTGAGGCTCGACTTTTAAAGTTCTATGGGGCCTTTCTCATAAATAGATTCACCCAGCACACGTAATACCTCCTCTACGGTGAGGTAGTTGAATACTTGAGCTCAAAACATTTGCTTATTATTGCATCTAATGGATTCGGGCAGCTTATTCTAAAACGTTGTATACCTTAGGAGAAAGCATTTGGCGCGCAACATTGTACGCACTCCAGGGACGCAAAAGCTGGATGATGTATTCATAATTGGATATTGATGGAAAGTGCCAAACTGGACAGTACCCGGCTCCCCAGAACTGGTATACGCTAAATCAAACAGGAAGATAAGATTAAGCTTAAATATTCTCAACCACAATGGTTCTAATTCCAGCAGTTTACACCGTTGTTGATAAGTCAAGGATCCAAACCCTAGTAAGCTTTTGGTAAAGGAACCTTGTACTTTTTCAAGATAGATTTTGTCGTACATTTTTAACTTTGTGAGTACTAATGGGAAACATTCTAAGACTGGACGTGCATATGCTTTATACATAGCTAGCCTAGTCTTTCAAAGGTAACGTATTAAAAATACGTGCTATGATAAGTCTCGTTTTGGCATTGACATGATGTACCTGTTCGGAGAAATTGAAAGTTTGACTAGTGAACTCCGAGATCACGAATCGTTGTGCAGCAGGTAATTGGTTTGTCATCTAGCGTCAGTATGTCATTAATAACGTTGCATCTGAAGAATAGGGCTTTACATTTGCCTACAGAGAATATCGTTTTCCACTCTCGGTGCCACCGTTGAAGGGCGAAGAGCTCCATCTGTATTGTTTGCGTACCGTTTGGTTCATTTATGCTATCAAAAGCGAACATAACTTCCATGTCATCCGCGAAAACAAAGGGTCTGTCGAAAGATTCGGAAAATGTCATTTGTGTATAGTAGGAATAACAGTGGGTCTAAAACGCTTCCTTTTATGACGCCGCTGGTTACTGGTATACGTAAAGATACGCGGTTTTCCACTGTGGCATATGGGGTGCGTGTAGATAAGAAAGATGACAGCCATGCTAGTAATGGGTTAGCAAACCCATGAGGTTAACTTTGTTAGAAGTTCTGCATGGGGTACGCGGTCGAATGCTTTTTCCATGTCTAAGAAGAGAATAACCAACGACTGCCCGGAGTCAGCCGACTTGGTTACGTAGTCCAGTTATTCAAATTGGCAAGTTTGACATGCACGACCACAAAGGAATTCATGTTGCAATCTGTCGATTCTTAGTTTTCTCGCAACTGCGTACCAACCAAATTGCACATTTAATGAGTTAAACTAGGGTTTTCAGGTGCGATTATGTAACGTCGGACGACCTTGTCCTCCGCGAATATTATCATTTCGAGGCACACGGACTACCGGAGCACCACTCTGGTTTTTTATCTTTAGTGACTCATTACCACTCCTCTCAGGGTGTTTGCACTCTCAAGTGTTTATTTTACAGGCTTAAGTAAGACTCGGACCTAGCTCCCAAGCTTTCTGTATTTGGACACCAGTAATTGCTAATGCTAGGTTGACACTTGTAATGCAACATATTCCCTCTGTTTGTCCAATAATTGTGTGCATAAGGACTGGAGAACAGATTAGTTCATTCTTTGCCATTGATCCCGAATCAAGCGCTCACCTTGGTTATTTGGTGCATACTACTTGCTGCTTTATGCGCAACTGAAACCGCGCCTATTCACGGGGCGGTGTTTCTTCTGTGCCATGGATCTTGCTTTTGCCCATAGTCAGTGCTGCGTGGGCCCAGTTACCACTTACGAATGAGGACATTCTTTTGTTCGCCCACTGACGTATAGAGCGAGGCTCAAGGGAGGCAAATGTTAACTTAATAGCTGAAAATCAAATCACTGGCGACTAACTTGGACGCTATGTGTCCGTATCGGCCGAGTGGTTGGCACGTTTGCTTTCCAACCATAAGGTCACCGGTTCGAATCCGCGTAGGGGTGGGCGTCCTCGCGGTATACTCAGCCCGCGCGCGACTGGTGGTGGTCGCGCGGCAGCGAAGCG